TTATAATACGACTTGCTATTGGTAGTTTAATTATCAATGACATTCTGACCTATTCTGTAGTCTAGAAACTGAAGGCGTGGATCCTCCCACAATGTGGTCCAATCCATACTTACTAATGTTATAAATGTGAAAGTGTGTTTGTTTGTCCTTCTTTCACGTCAATACAGTGATGGATTGGCATGATTTTTTGTGTTTACATAGTTGGAGAGTGACATAGGTTTTTTTCCAGCGGGAAATAATCTCATTCCCACGGGAAAATACGTTATAATACCCACACCAACTCATCGTACCTATGTAATATGTATATAATCTATCTATTTCATACTTTAAACCGTTAAAACGTCCCTAGTAAAAAAGTTCTTGTTGTTACCAAAGAGAAAATATATATTTTCTTAAGCAACTTAACTACAGATTTGAATTACTTCGCTCGATAAAAAAATTCAAAGATTCGATTTTTTCACTTTATATCCCAAATTTTGAATGAACTTCAGAACATACAATTCTATTTTTATTTTTTATGATGAAACCCCGGAAAAACGATAGTACCTAATCTATATGCCAATTACAGCCCTGTTAAAATTAATTGACTCATTCCGAAGACTCATTGTATACCTACACGTTTTATTAAGTTCACTTGTACGATATGTAATCGTGTGAGTCGTCTTACCAACAAGTATAGATGTAGATCAAAGTTAAAAAAAACATTGATTTATGATGTACGAGTAGCAGTAGGTATGTATTCATCTCATAATATTAAGTTAAATGCATTAGTTTAAGCCGCCATTACAAGACATGCCTATGTGTTGCGGGCGAATATAATATTAGCAAAATTCAATTTAAGAAGGTGAAAGTTAATTGAATATTCCTTAAATTTGTAGGTGAAAGATCTTGGACTAAATTAACAGTTTAAGGTTCTGTTTACAAAGTGTGCAGACGTCAGAGAATCTAATTACTGCCATCCTTCCGTACTTGTCGTTTGTACTTCCATCTTATCTTAGAAGTATTAATATGCCGAGATTGCATAAAATATTAACTAGCGCCTTTTTTTAACATCCCACAGCTGGGCACAGGCCTCCCTCAATAATAATTAGCTTCATTTTTTGAAATCCCAATACTAGGCACGGGTCTTTCAATGCGGAAGGGATCAAGCCACAAGTTGGCCAAGTGTGTATCTCTTTCGAAAGTACTTACTAGAAATCTGAGAGAGCCTGACAAGTAAGACTAGTTGTTACTAGTTAGGTGGTCTCAGGCATGCAGGTGTCCTAACGATGTTTTCTTACACTGAAAGACATCATATTAAAAAGGTTTCGCACATGAAAATATCAGAGGTGCGATACACGGGATTCGACATGACATCACTTTGCGCGAGCTCGTTACTACTTGGCTACCGTTTTAAGATTTTTACAATTCTTCACCGTGACTCCCGCGTGTAATACAGTAATATATGTACAATTTTAGAACGAAATATTTATAATGGTTACATGGATTTTGGTATCAAAAAGCCTTGCCTATTATTAGTATTAGCTCATGAGTGACGATAAATGATTCCTTCTTTTATTTTTTTTAATCCACATATTTGCACGATTACATTATCGTGCAAGCGAATTTAAATAAAAATAATTATTTGTTCTATCGATCTTATGTTTCATTTGTCTGTAAAGAGGTTTTAATCAAGCTGACTATTCGAAGAATGATAATAATTACTACAAAAAACAATGGTACACCGACATCATAATCGTTCAAATATAAGTGCCCTTAAATGTAAGTTTAAATGTTAGGGTTACCGTTAGGGTGGGTTTTTTTTAATTTTTATGTGTGAACTTGAGATACCTTACGTTGGGAAATCCATTTACGCATACCACCTGTATAGAAACTGGTGATTATATGGGACTCACCGGCTAGCCTCTAAAACCCAACGGAACCTCCCCCGTCTAATGGAGCGTCGCAGTATCTTACGCATTCAACCACGCCGCCACGGCGGCAGGTCTGCTGAAGCAGACCACTACACCTTTTCATCAATAGGAAGAGGAATTCAATAAGGTTTTAAGCTATAACTTATAATTTAATGTATTGCAAAAATAAACTACCGGTATGATGATATTTCTACATTAAGACGAGAAATGATCTTTCTGAGAACTTCTGTAGTATTATAAATGCGAAATGCAATCTAGGTTCTAGCGACAATAGGTCAATATGTATAATTAACCGACTTCCGACTTCCAAAAAGTAGGAGGTTCTCAATTCGTCGGAATCTTCGTTTTTTTATGTATGTTCACCGATTACTCGAACCGATTTGGATTTTTTTGTTTCGAAGGGTATACTTCCCAGGTGGTCCGAATTATGAGTAAATTTTGTCGAAATCAGTCGAGCAGTTTTTTAAAAAATCAACAATAAATTGTTTTTTAAATAATTTGTTTAATCGATGTTATTAAAAAAAATTCTTACAAATTACCTGCTTATTACGTCTACACTAAAAATGAAAAAAAAAACTTAAAAAAAAATTGCAGATGCAAAGCAAATCTAATATATTTCGATATTGTCGGCTGGCACCGAGTTCGAAAATATCTGATTAGGTATCTATTCTGAATGAAAACCCCCGTTTAGATATTTTTTACATTTTAGTGCCTGGAAGTCAGTATTTATTTTTTTTAAGATTTTGTTATACTTAAGTTTTATTTTAATTATCTCAACAGTCTTAAGATTTTTTGAAGACCTAATAACAGTAAAAGGCCACGTGATTTGAAATTTCACTGATTCTTTAAAGAAAGTATCTATTATATGGCAAAATCGAGAATAGTAGTAGAAACAGCAAAGCACGCTACTATTTTTGACTTTGACATTTATTTTATTTTCGACGACACGTTTATCTCGGTTTGTAGTGACCCTACTTGCCGTGCCAGCGGTCGCAGGTTCGAGTCCCACTGGGTGCATTCATTTGTGTTTGAGCACGAATGTTTGTACTCCAGTCATGGTTGTTTATATTTATAATATATATGTCTTTAAATTTATATATTTGTAGTGTATCAAATATCTGGTATCCATAACAAAAGCTTCGTAGCTTATCATGGAACTAGATGGTGTTGTTTGTTAATGACTCAACGTATTATTTATTTAGTCTGAGGGCACAAAACAAATATTAAATACTCTTCAGGTATAGCTACAGACTGACCCGGGGTTAATTAAATATAATAAGCGAAGTAATCAACAACAACTAATTATAATTATTTGATAAGTGCATTGCGATTAGGTATATATTTGTAAGCTACGAGTAGCTTTGTGTCTGTCTTGAAAACACGTAGGTATACGTAAATTCTTGACATCTATATAAGTAAAAATCGGGCTAGTACGAGTCTGACTCGCACATCGTGGGTTCCGTAATATAAAGCATTATTTTCTTTATTATATTACAATATATTAACGGTTTATAATGATTTCCAAAATATGATTTCGTTGACTTAGAAGTTTGAATTTTTCACAGTTCCAGGCGGTTGCAGATTTGGGTATTTGATATTAATTTCAACCTAATATCTCCACGCGTTCCTGTGAGACAAACAGACAGACGGACAACGAAGTGATATATACTAAAAATGAATGTTTGTATGTTTATACTTTATGCGTTCCTAAACAATTTAACCCTAGAAAAGCGAGTGAGTTTTTTGGACATTTTCGCGGTTTCATTTTACGTTTTTGCTCCCATCGTTTGTTATGTTAGAATTATTATTCATTTATATATTAACGGGGCGCGATCGAAGCCGTGAATAAAAACTAGTATATAAGGTCAATAATTATAATTAAAACAAAAAACAAAACTATCACCAACCAAGGTAATGACGAATTAAAATAGCGACCTTCACATTGAGATATGGAGGAAAGTAAAATAAATAAGTATAAGAAACATAATTAATTATTTATTATAAATATAAATACCATTCCGGTGTACAGGTTTTCGTAATACTTGGCTTAACCGATTTCAATGATATTTTTGTATATTAATGGATGTTTTTTTGCCATTGTATGTTCGTTAGGTGACACTGTTGTCAAGACCTAGATTTTTTTTAATTTTTCGACTACACTGAATTTCTACCCGACTGCGGCGAAGCCCTAAGGAGGGTTAAGTGTTAGACCTGTATGTATGTATGTATATATAAATTTCCTCGTAATTACTAAATGGCGCAACCGATTTTGATGATTTATACATTGTTAGTATATATATATATATATATATATATATACAGGGTCATTTTTAATTTACTGAAAACCTTTTGGGAATACACTATTTACAACATAACAACAACATCTGTAAGAAAAAAAATATCTTAAATTTAACAAAAATAAAAATATTTTTATTGCACCTTCTCAACGGTAATAGTCCAACATTAGCAAAAGAAAGTGCGTGTTCGGTGGAGGGGGAGGGGTAGAGGTGTAGGAAGCCGCGCTTACTCATATAAACTTAGCCAGATGCTAGAACTTTAAAGTTTAAAAGGCGCAAAAAAAAATTTTTAATTTTTGTATGAAAATAAAAATTTAAGAAGCATTATTTTTTCTTGTTAAAGATGTTGTTGTTATTATGTAAATTCCTAATAGGTTTTCAGTAAATTAAAAATGACCTGTATATATAATACTATGTTTCTTTTCAACTTGTTTTCCTCTTTTTAGTTCGTTTTTTCCGCAGTCGGGTTTTTTATTTAAAAAAATACATAACAATAACCAAATTATTATCATAGTTTTGTCTGTTTGACAATAATATTGAAATAGGAATACTATATTTATTAAAAAAAACTAACTTTATATTTAAATTCAACGTCATTAATGTGAGGTCGGTTTCTCCGAAAACAAACTTTAAAAGCATTTCTACTGATATTAATAATAATAATCTAAGCAATTAGTGCAGTACATTTTCTCAACATATTCCTTTAATAAAATGGGAAAATGATATAATCCATGGTATTAAAATTGAGTTATTTTTATTAAAACACACACGAAATTACACAGTAAAACTAGTTTTCCTTATAATAATGCGGTGCAAATTCCAAAAGCCAGTCTTTACTGATCACCATCACGTCTCTCATGTACGTTTTATCTCCGGAACTTTGTACTGAGGCAAATACAACCCTAAAAATAAAATAATTGGTAAAATCAGTCTGTCTTAGAAATATTTTTAGCCGACTTCCAAAAAGGAGGAGGTTCTCAATTCGTCGGAATCTTTTTTTTATGGATGTTCACCGATTACTCGAAGAGACCTGAACGAATTTGGATTTTTTTTGTTTAAAAGGGTATACTTCCCAGGTGGTACCATATTTTTATCGAAATCGGTCAAGCAGTTTTTTTTTTAAATCAACAAATAAATATTTTTTGAAATAAATTGGTTGATCGAACATGTTATTAATAAACTTTCTTCTAACAAATTACCTGCTTATTACGTCTACACTAAAAATGGACAAATAAAAACTTAAAAAAAACCGACTTCCTGGCACTAAAATGTAAAAAATTACTAAACGGGGGTTTTCATATTTTAAGATATGAATATCTAATAGGTAAATATGTATTTTACGTATCGAAATATATTAGATTTGCTTTGCATCGGCTGGCACCGACTTCGAAAATATCTAATTAGGTATCTATTCTAAATGAAAATCCCTTAGTTTAGTTATTTTTTACATTTTAGTGCTTGGAAGTCGGTTTTTTTTATGTTTTAGTATCGCAGTTCAAATAATCATTGCTTTAAAGTTTATTTGTTCAAACCCAACGATTAATAAAATACTAGATACACAATCCCATGCAAAAGTTCTTTTAAAACTGTCACCGATTGTGTTTAGGTAATTGTTCTCGTTGAAATAAATATACAACAAAGTAAATTGAACCTTAAATGCGATACTCAAAGTTGATTCCACAAAAATTTTAAATTAAAGTGCGCTCAAATGTTTAAATGAGCGCTCATTCGGTGAGGGCATTTTTTATCGCTGATTGTGTATTTAGTACTTTTTGATCGATGTTCAAACAATTGATGTCCAAACGACCAATTTACCGGAATTTTTGACTTTTAAATGTCAATTCTATTGGTACTCGTATTGATGGGAGGCTCACGCCCAGCAGTGGGACGTTAAAGGGGTTGAGTGGGTACACATATAACTCACCAGGTGGGCTGTTGGGTGTGATATAGACAGCTGGTAGGACTTATTGCGAGATCAGCTCCTCGGATTCCTTTGTATTGACTGTCGGGTGCGAGTCGAGCCGCTTGAGGGAAAAGGCCTGAGATCACCGCTTTCATTATACGATTTGTTTTGGCTGTATATGGGAAATAAGAAATAGATTAGTCTGCTATGCCTTGAATAAATATTTGTTCATCCCGTAAATATTATAAATGCGAAAGTTTGGATGTATGTTTGTTACTCAATCACGCCAGAACGGATCTGGGTGAAATTTAGCACAGCAACAAAACAGTGAAAGTTCCTTCAAAATCAGTCCAATCGTTTCGCAGATAGCCGGAACCAACAAACAGACAGATAAAAATTTTAAGATTTGTTTTTTTCTTAAAACTATCGTATGTTTGTACTTTCATATGTATTTAGTACACAGGTGTTATTTTGACATTACAAACAGACACTTTAATTTTATTTATCTGTATAGATTACAAAAAATATTTTTTTAAAAACACCTGACATACACGTAATAAGCTAATGTTTATTTACACATTATTTTCATAAAACGATGCTTACTATCAAATATATAAAAAAACGTGACACTTTAGGGCGTTATATTGTTGATACTTTTATATATATATTTAAGTGCCCTCTTTCTATATATGCTAGTTTTATTATTGTTTGTTTCGCCTAATCTCCGAAAAAGCTGGACAGATTTTGATGGGACTTTCACAGGCAGATGGCTGCTGTTATAAGGAGTAACTTGGCTACTTTTATTTTAGAAAAAGAATCAAGGTTACGTTTCGCGTTGACGCACTCAAGCAAAGTCGCTAATTCTTATTAATAAAAGCGTCTATGCCGTGTGCAAATACATAGTCTGGCCATAAATACTGTTACAATTAGAAATAAACAAAATATTTGAATTTGGAATCTGTCATTTTTATATGATTGTTAATGAACAATGAAACAAATAACTACTATACATATCTAATCTAAACATATTTAAACAAAACGTTTAATCTATTTTAATAATGAAAATATAAAAATATAAAATATTCACCTGGACCTAAGTCAAGATCATCAAACGTTTTATTTTCCAGCTGAAATTTATCCTTCACGAGTTTCTCTAAGCTGTTTCTAATTTCTACTGCCTGGAAAATGAGAATAAAATACATACATACAGGTCAAACACATAACCCTCCTTTAGATATCGCCGCTGTCGGGTAATAAAATATATCTCGTTAATATTATAATTTCAAAATTAGTAATGGGTCAATGAATGTAAGCTAAATTTAAAATACAGGTAATGAGTATACTTTTCTTAATCGACACACGACGCACTTTATATTATATTGTATTGTTTTAGTGCCGAGAAAGAAACTTAAAAAAACTTATAGATGGCGCTATTTTTGAACTGTTAATTAATTTTATAATTCAAATAAAGGTAGAAAGAAACTTTTTACATCGCCATCTAAGAATTAATATTTTTACATAAAGTATAACATATTTAGATATTTGTCATACTAAACTACCACGTCTCTTTTGTATTGAAAAACAAAGCTCAAAGCTCTAAACTAAAAAAAGCTGCAAACCGCATACAATAAAATACTATAGATTAATCTGTGGACGATTTTTATTAGGATTTTTAATGTATAAACCTATATAAACAAAAATAAATGTTTGTAAGTTTGTCCTTTACGCGTTCCTATACCGTTGATACAATTGTGATGAAACTCTAGTGGGGTATCCTGTTTTTGCTGGCAAAGGTACCCGGCGCAAAAAAAAGAATTTTTATGAACATTTGTCTTTTATACGCTGCCCAAATCTTTCAAGCTTATTAAAATAAATAATAAAATTAAATATTTCGAAAAGATAGTTTTATTTAAAATGTCAAATATTCGCGTAAATCTAAGTAAACTAAAATAAAAATATAGCGGTTAGATACCTTTTCCATGACCCTATAGTTGAGATACATCTTCTGACACCAGTCTTTACATGCCTTTTTAGCTTTTTTCTCATTGTCGTTAGATCTTATTTTCAAATACGCATCTAATATATTCAAATACATTATGATATCGCCTTCAGCCACCTGAAAAAATAAATAAATATAGCTCTTGAAACGTATAAAACCTTAACCTCTCCCGTGACGATGATTGCTGTAAAGAATTCGAAACGTCGGGAACCAAAAATCTAAATAAATCCGCGAAAAAATCCGAAAAGATAGTTTTATTTAAAATGTCTATCGTTCGAGTAAAACTATTACAACAAATAGAAAAGAATATATGATAAGTTATGTAAAATAAAAATATTACATTATTATTATCTTAAATAGGTTTTTTTTAAATAAGTACTTTTTTGCAAAGAACATAAACATCGTATTGCTAGCAATATCTCTATCCTGCAGATTTAGACCCTTTAATATATATAATATATACAATGTGTTTACTTTATGTGGCAGGATATATTTAAGCCTTCTCTTCATTTAAAGTAAAGAAAAAAAAGTATAGCTAAAAAATTAAAAAAAAATTAAAAAAGATAAAATAAAAACCAAAAGTTCCATAAAAAGAAATAAAACAGATACATTACATTTATTCTGCATACCTTAAACTAAAAACAGACAGTAATTATATAAAATCTAACCTCAAAATTATTCCGTCTAGATATTTTAGCAGCTATATTACTTTTCCCGCTACTCTGCTTAGTGAACACCTCGTCCACTTGCAACATCGACACTATCGATAGAATTTCGTCTATACATCCAAATTCACCTGTAAAATACCATCACTATTATTAAATTTTTTTATACGTATGTATGTTATTTCTTCAAGCTGAAACGACTGGAAAGATTTGAATACAATTTAGTGCAGCTGCTACTAGCTTTAACTGCTGCTAGTTTTATATATCTACAAATTGTCTACTTATAATTTTTATATCTATAAACTATATATTTACGAATTGTATATCTAAAAATTGTCTATCTACAAATTTTATATTATAAACAAACAAACGATGTCAATGATTTGATAAGCCCACAATTTTATTTAGCACACGTTGTATTGTGTACAATTGCAATTAGCTTTTTTTTATTATAATTATTTTCTATATAACGTACCTTCTATTGGGAATACAAATAAATAAATAACCAAAACTTACCGCTTTCACACAACATCTTAGCAAACATCGGCCTTAAAGGCAGTTCACACATTCTCATCCCGCACTCTGTGAGGTCGCCATCTTTATCTATCGCCTTTAGTGCGTAAAGAGTTTCTAGACTGGAAAGTAGGGACTTTGCTGGTGGGGGGGTTGGGAATGTGAATCTGTTTGGGGATGGAGGGGGTGGGGGGGTTAATGTTATTGCATTATATTTTTAATATTATGTGTTAGATTTGTGTGGTTATTAAACATATAATGAGTAGCTAGTAGTGTCCCTAGTTTGATTCCCCATATAAACTGCTATCCCTATTTTCACCCCCTTAACGGATGATTTCCGGAATAAAAAAAAATATCAAGCTATCTTTTTACCAAATCTCATCTAAACCGGTCCAGTAGTTTTTGAATGTATTCGTTACAAACATACAAAAATACAAACCTTTCCCCTTGACTTCGTCCTAAAACACTTCGCCCGGTCCAAATAATAACGTTTTATAGAAAACAAAGTTAGAAATATTATATATTTTTAATTTATTCAAGTATCCTTGTCGAAGAAAATGAAACGAATTAGGCCTCACATAACGACTAGTGCACCTAATTCTTTACCTCCGTCTTCGAAAGTCGGTTAACCCAGTCAAAAATGAACTTACCTCAGTAAATTATTAATGCCCAAAGCTTTCAATTGCAGAAGTACAGCGGAGAGGTCACTGCGGCACATCTCTGGAGGGATGCTCTGCGGTAATTTGTCGTAGTCCTCCTCTGTATATAATCTGTGGAATTTATATAAATTTGTTATTTATTATTATATAAACATCTTAAAGGGAATAGTATCGATAAGACCCCATGTTCGGACCAGAATAACAAAAAAAATGTCATACAATTTGATATTTTCATTACATATTCTGAAAATAAACTGTGTGCATGAAACGAAACGAATTTATGAGAGAAAAAACTATAATTAATACATATGACATAATACATATGATAATACATGTGACTGTGAGACACCAAACTTTGAACAAACAGTTAGATAACTGAGATATTCATTCAAAATGAGACATTTTAAGTAACATTTCAATTTTTTGTCTATAATCAAAAGCGCTTTTGATTGTGTTTACTTAGAAGTTTAATTTTTCAAAGCTCTAAATGATCACAGACCTGAGTATTTGATATTTGAAGTCCCATCAAAATCGATCCAACTATTTCGGAGATAAGCCAGAAAAAACAGACAGACAGACAAACATTTTAAAAATTGTTTTTTTTCTTATAAGTACCGTATACACTTTCATATGCATTTAGTAAAAAACTGTTATTTTGGAATTACAAACAGACACCATTTTATTTACATATTATATGTAGTCTGGATTTTTCTTAACGTATATATATAAAAAAAACAACCAACCAAGCAAGCAAACAAACACTAACCTGTAGCACTTTCCTCTGCCCGTGCGTCCCGCCCTGCCCGCCCTTTGCACGGCATTCTGCTTGGCGATCACGCTAACACTCACGCCCTCCACTCCCACCGCGGGCTCGAAATGCGGCAGTTTGTGGAAACCGCTATCTATGACTGGAATATTAATTTATTTGGTTTAGGTTTTATTCAGAGATATGTGTGTTTATTCAGTATGTATTTATGAAGAATATTCATCAAATCTATCCTAAATTAATTCAAATGCGTTCATCTTACTTTAAAAAAGTTTCACAATTTAAAGATTTGTACACACTGGCGTTTAAGCCGATACCATACTTTGTACGATATATAATATACTTCCAAGATATACTTTTATAGATATAGGTATTGTATGCAGTCCTTTTTAACGTCTCACTGCTGGACACGAGCCTCCTTTCAATACGACTTGAACCACCACGCTGGCCGAGTGCGGGCGGACTTCACATGTCTTTCGAGAACTTGTTAGGTTCAATCAGACATTAAGGTTTCCTCATGATGTTCTCCTTCACCGTAAGACAAGAGGTAATCATGTTGGAAATGGTTCGCACATGAAAATATCAGAGATGCGAGACCCGGGATATGAACCCGCTTCACTCGGTTTCCCAAGCGCATTACCACTTGGCTACCAGAGCCTTCCAAATAAAGAAGAATAGACAATAACCAAAAACAAAACTCACCATAAACAATCCCATTAATAGTGACACTGGTCTCAGCAATATTAGTCGCTAATATCACTTTCCTGACATTTTTCTCGGACATTTGAAAAACTTTGATTTGTTTATAATAAGGTAAACTGCCATATAAGGGCATAACTGATATGTTACACGCATTGATGCCACTTGGGAATAATTTTCTATATTTATTTTTTTCGTTATTCTGTTCCGCATATTCTTGCAAACTATCTAAAGCGGAGAGAATTTCCTCCTGGAAAGGATTGAAATTTGTAATATTGTATTAGTATTACTCATATACTAGGAACGTTTTAACGGATAGAATGGATATCCCACGGGAACCGTAAATTTTTCGGGATGAAAAGTAACATATATGCTATTCCAGACTATAATCTATCTCTGTGCCAAAGTTCATCCAGATCCGTTCAACCGTTCTGGCGTGATTGAGTAACAAAGATCCATACAAACTTTCGCATTTATATTAATACTTATACATTTATGTAGGATTTATTTTATCAAACAAACATTATGCCAGTTTCACGATGAATTTCAAAATAATTTTATCGATTTAGAAATAATGGTTCATATTCTCCAATGATTTCCAAATAAATAAAATTATTCATAAATAATCAGGAACAAAGTGAAATTAATTTAAACACATGACAATAGATGGAATTACATAAATGTAAAGTAAAATATTTAAAATATTGTCAATAAATGGCGCTTTTCAAGTTGAAGATAAGAAATAAAATAATGTCTTTTAAATAGACAATTACACTATATTTTGCTTGTATTCAGCCCTCTTTAACGTCCCACTGCTGGGCACGGGCCTCCCCCCTTCAGTAGGAGGGGAATCAGGCCATAGTCCACCACGCTGGCCAAGTGCGGGTTGGCGGACTTCACATGTCTTTCGAAAACTTGCTAAGTTCTCTCAGACATGCGGTTTCCTCACGATGTTTTCCTTCACCGTAAGGCAAGTGGTAATCATGTTGGAAATGATTCGTACATGAAAATATCGGAGGTGCGATACCCGGGATTTGCACCCGCTTCACTCGGTTTTCGACGCGATCGCATTGCCACTGGGCTACCACTGCCTTAATATATTTTGCTTACAATAAATAATGTATAATAGATGGCGTTACATATATTATGTAAATGTACTTCTAGATAGTATTTTTTCGGATTATTTCGCGGACTTATTTGTTATTTTGTTATTTTCGTTCCCGACGTGATGATATATATCATTTTTGAATTTTTGAAATCATTTTGTAAAATAGTGGGTAGGCACTGTCTGTAACAAGTGTATAACATAAATTGTAAGTTAATCGAAAGTATCAAAATAAATCCGCGAAAAAATCCGAAAAGATTATTTAAAATGTCAAATATTCGCGTAAATCTAAGAATGTATTATGTGCTTTTAGATATTTAGAAAATAACATATTTAATAAATTGTCAATAGATGGCGCTTTTCAAGTGAAATGGTAAGAAAGAAAATATTTTTTTAGAAATAATAGTTTGCTTTGTACCCTTTACTTTTGTAAAGGGTACAAAGCAAACTATTATTTATTTATTTGTATTAAAAAATACTCACTTGTGAAGTTAAAAACGCTAGTATATCTCCAAACGGCTCGTTTTCGTGTATTTTGATCACTGTGTCGACTGTCGCTTTCACATAATCTGGCACGGGTTCTGAAAAATTAAAGAAAATATATATACATAAATAAAAATTGTAAGTACTTCATAAACATTCAATATTTATTATATGAAATCTTAAATTATAAAGTGCAAAATTTTTCAAAAAAGTTTCAGAGATTTCACATGCAGACAAACAAACACACTCTTCAACTTTATATATAAGTATAAAATTTATGAATATATCCAACATAGCTTAGCTAATTTATAAATAAATAAAATGATAAGATTCGAGGGCAAAATCTAGTCCATAAATTGTATCGATAATTACGACCATTTCAATAAGATCTTCCAAAAATATTGGATGTAGAGATTCAACTCAGTTAGAATTTTATTATATGTGTAGATCATTTAAAGGTTTTTATCTATTTAAAATTTAATCATATATCATCATATATCAAATCTATACCGGATCAATATCTATTTATCAAATATCAAATTTATACCGGAAAATGCAGTTCACGTGGGATAGATTTGTTTTTGTTTTTTACTAGGAACGAATCCGAGCGAAGCGAGGGTGAGCCGCTAGTAATTTATATTTTCAGTACTCACCTTGTACATAAAATATATCGATAGGATGAGTCCTTCCCTGCATAGACATTATTACTGATGTACTTTTGTTAGTTTTATCCTTTTTATCGTTTAAATTGAAAAAATCTTTTAGAAACTCAGCATCCATTGTAGCCGAAGAGACTACGAGCTTTAAATTCTTTCTTTTCTGTAAATAAATGATAATATATATTATTAATATTTATTTAGTCATTAGATGCTATGTATTGAGCCCTTTTAACGTCCCACTGCTGGGCACGGGCCTCCCTTCAATAAGAGGGGGATCAGGCCATAGTCCACCACGCTGGCCAAGTGCGGGTTGGCGGACTTAATTAGACTTAACTTTTTATGTACTGAAGAAAAACAATGAACAAATACATAATTCGTTGGCTTACTATTACAAGGTTCTATGTTAATTTTAATGAAGTTTAGTAATTTTTACATAGAACTTCGTTATCTTGTTATCGTAAAAAAAAACAACATAGAACAATGTAAAATTGAATATTTTGTAGTTATAGTGCCGCTATCTAGTGGTTTGTTTTTGCAAAACTGTATCTAATGCCACATAGAACCTTATAGCATTAATAACTAAATAAGTACTAAAATTGTAACATAGAACCTTGTAATAGTGAGCCAACGAATTATGTAGAGTATACCCCTTTAATAGCTCTATAAGAAAACACAATTGCATAAATTGTACTACCACATGTAATTTCCTTTATGTAAAAAAAGTGTTTTCGACTAAGTAAAGTAAGCATCTTACTATTTGAAATACAAAATATAAAAATAAACTGTTTCATCATCACAAGTACTTAATAGAGATAAAAATTGCCCGTTATATGTCATTTGGTTATAACTTATATGGTTTAGAAGATAATGAAATAGAAAATTAAGCGGGACACGTGCAAAGTTAACTAAAAGATACTAATTATTATTTTCTAACTTTTAATTATAATAAAAGTACAATATATGATATACAAATACAATATAATGTGACTGTTATTAAAAGTGAAAGTTTTTATGTATGTATATGCATGTCTGTTACTCCTTTACTCTGAAATGGCTGTAGGGATTTGAATGAAATTTAATACACATATAGACTATGATCTGGTAATATCCACACCCCAGCGAAGCGAGAGAAATATATTAGTGTATAATATATAACATTTTTATGTTACGTATGTAATAATATGCTAGAATAATATACATACAATTATTGATATAATTATATAAATAATTAATATATATTAATTACTAAATATTATAATCATTTATTGTTAATTCATTCAATTAATCAGTTTTATTAATTTAATTAATCAATTATTTAATTCAATTAATTTTGAAATTTGAAACTGATTAATGAAAAACTAACGTATATTATAATTTATAAATATTAATTAATAACATATCGATATTGAAAACACAAGTAAATAACTAAAGTAATTCTACGACGAATCGGAGATATTACTTCACAAAAATATTTTTAGATTTTTTTGTCTGTATGTTACATTACACTGTGACAATTGAAACCTTATATATATCAGTGTGAACCAAACCATAGCGCGTTTCAATATACTACTAGCGCCATCTGTTACCGTATTTTGTAACTATTTGTAAATGAACTAACAATAAGCTGTAAAACACTTAATGTAATATTATATAGTATGATAACGAAATTCGCCTTTTTACTTAATTATTTATTAATATTATTTAAAACTTTCTCGTATTTACGCCAGTATTTGATATTTTAAATAAAACTATGTTTTCGCGATTTAATTGTACTTTTCTGAACTTCGAATGCTTCACAGCAAACGTGGTCACGGTAGAGATTTAGATTTTTGACGTCTCTAAAGTCCGAAAATATAGTTAAACAAAGCTAAACTTAAAACGAAGTAAAATAGTTAGTTTATTTAGTTATAAATAACTATTACTATTCTTACTGCATGAGTCATAACTCCGTTGTGTAATTAACCATTTCGGTGATTAGAATTGGGCGCCCATGTACGCCCAGATTACACTATTTATATTTAAGTCACTGATATATCTTTTGCTTTTTTTAATAAAATCCAAGGCTTATATATACGTTTATGAATAATGGTATATTAACAACGATTATTCTTTTTATCAAAATATATATTTTCGATTAAAAAATGGCTTATATATTACCTACATACTCTACGAATCACAGAAAAAACAAAACTGATTATAAATATTACAAACAAAAAAGACTGGAACAAGTTGACGAAGGAACATAGTATTATGCCGTCGGAGATCTCAATCTAAGGAATAATACAGACAGAGTGTCATTGAACTAAACATGAAGCCATAGAATAATGTTTTAAAATATTATACAGATGACAATTTGTTTAAGTACTGAGTGATAAGTAAATAAATGTAAATAAATAAAAATTGCTGACGAATTTTATAATAAGAAAGAAAAATAATTATATAAGTTATAAGCTTTATAGCTATTATGTTATGTCTCTTTCAAGGGGAAAAGAACTGATGCTTAAAAATATAAGAATCTAATATTATTTGTATTTTTGTTATTTATACTTTATTTTCAAAAATTATATACTAATTTACCTAATACATAAATAAAATTTCTCTTATTCTTTAAATAAAGTAAACGATCTATATGGCAAAATCGAGAATAGTAGCATAAACAGCAGCAAATCACGTTACTATTTTTGCTTTGACATATTTTTGGCGGACTCCGTATATATAGATCTTTAGCAGAGCTATACATACATACATACATACATATATACGTACAAAGCACATAAATACAGTAGCAAGACTCGCAGCAAGTATAATATATAAAACTAAATTAAAATAAAATGGACACGACACTACAGTATATAAAAATAACATCCATACTATTACCAATATGTAATATTATAAATATGAAAGTGTGAATGTTTGTCCTTCTTTCACGTCGAAACGGATATACGGATTGACGTGATTTTTTGTGTGGAGATAGTTGGAGGGCTGGAGAGTGACATAGTAGACTATTTTTACCGCGGGAGATTATCTCATTCCTACGGAAATCACATTATAATACAATCAAAAAATATATTTATGATCGGATATATTTGAAACTTGGTATTAATGCTCTTCAAGAAAAATAAATAAAATACGTGTATTAAATACAATTTCGAAAAAATGCTAATATAAATACACTGTATTTATATTAGCATTTTTTCGAAATACATCGTGTAAGGGGGTGAAGTTTGTATGAACTACCTTTTTAGATACTTTTTGTAGTATTAGCGCAAGCGATGCCGCAGGTTCTGCTAGTGCCTAGTACAATAATAAAAGTAATACAACGACGTATATGGTGTATTACTCTGCAAAAAATATTTTTAGATTGTTTGTCTGTATGTCACTTGAATCTGGAACATTTGTTTGTATATAATATTCAATGTGAACCAAACCATAGCGCGTTTCAAAACACTACTAGCGCCATCTATTATTGTACTTAGTAACTATTAAGATTGCTGTTATTTATAAAAGCTCAAAAAAAACTTATTTTGTTACATTTTGAATACCTATTTCATTAGTCTTAATAACTAAAAAGTATGTATATGTACGTAAAGTATGTATATGTATGTAAAGTTATTTGAAAGTCTATCTGTAAATCTAAATCGGGGAAAGCAAATATAATTTTGTATCATTATATTTTTTTATTCATTTTAATAATATATTTTCAATAAAAAAAAGAGTATAAAAGTTCTAAATCTAAAAAGAGTTTTTTATCAAAATATGTATATCTAACCGACTGCCTATATTTATTTTTACCTTATATTATCTTTAGGAATAAAATAATATAAATTATAATTGCCTTGTTCTTTTGTGATAGAGCCGTATTAAAACAATTTCTTTAATAATTTTGTCAGTCTGCCTTTGCTTTTTGCCTTTATTTTTTTCACATTATAGAAAAAAGTTGACAAACACTGAAAAATTTGTACAAAAATACTTACTAACTTATAAAAACCCTGTAAAATCTAGATCCCATCTAGATTAAAAAATAAAGCCATACTTACTTTTATAATTTTCTTTAGTAATCCCATGAGAACATCTGTCATTTGCGATCTCTCGTGTACCTGAAATGGTTATACATAATATTATGTATTACAATAAGGCATTAACTTTAGTAATATTACTAAAGACTTCTTACCCTTGCTTCGCTTGGGTGCGTTTTTTTTTTGAGCGGAAACATAATTCTTTTTCTAAAATAAAAGTAGCCTAAGTTACTCCTTACAACATCAGCTATCTGCCAGTGAAAGTCCTTTCAAAATCAGTCTAACCGTTTCAGAGATTAGCCGGAACAAACAGACAGACAAAAATTTTAATAATTGTGTTTTTCATATACTTATCTAATGTTAATATAATGTTAATCATTACAAACAGACACTTCAATTTTATTTGTTTATAGATTTACGCTGTTGATATTTTTCGATGTCTCTAATAATACAGTTTATTTAGAAAGTTTATTTAAAAAGGATAGTTAGCCGCGTCAACATACTCGTATAATCTATCTTCAATATACCGTCACTCATACAATCTATCGTCAATATACTCGTATAGGATACTTTTTACAGCGGGAAAATATCTCACCACTTGAGATCTATACCGTTAATCATATATAAATAGGCAAAGACAAAACAGGTCAGTATCTTTTTCGCCTCTGTTTGTTGACCAATTTTCTTTTTCTTTTTTTTTGTATAGTAATTAGTAATACTAGCAAGTTTTTTTAAAGACATGTGAAGTCCGCCAACCCACACTTGGCCAGCGTGGTGGACTATGGTCCCCCTGGTGTTGAAAGGAGGCCCATACCCAGCAGTAGGACGTTAAAAATACGGGCTGAATATACAATACACATATAAGGATAAATCTAGGGAGAGACATAAACTAGTAAAACGCTTTTAGTTAAGCTATCAGTTTTCTAATTTACTGCCAAAATATAAGAGCATCAAATTTTAGCTTTTGACACTAAATATCTGCTCACATTGCCTTGCTAGTTTTACATACGTGCTTTCCTGGGAAGTAGTGCTTAGTACTGATTTATTAGATTATACCTTAAAGGTAGATGGCATTGAGTTATAAAAAAGAATTTCAAACTTTATGGGTGAAATAGATTTAAAGCAATTTGAATTAAATGGCAGAAGTGTACCATTTTTTACATATATTATTATTTTATTGAGATTTAACACGTTCAATGCCACTACGATTTTCATGATGTCTTCGCGGATGCCGCATACATTTCACGTTGGACTCGCCAAGCGAGTCGCCGGCACTAGAATATAATTTGAATGGACTCGCCACGCGAGTTCACTGGCATTATGTAAGGGTAAAATTTATCTTTTGTTGTTATTGTGACTGTCTTAGTCTCCGTAACGTTTGTATCGGAAGTATAAAGTGTTTGACGACTATTCAGTGTGTTTTAACTTACAAACATGGCAAAAAACTCAAAGGATAAAATAAAAGGTAAGTTTGTTTCGTAATTTAGGCAGTGGTTGTCAACTTTTTATACAGTGGTTATTTTTAATGTTATTTTTTGTACTAATAATATTTCTGAACAGCAATTTCGCTCTGAATATTTAACGCTGTCTCCTAGTACTACGAATATGGTATCAACTTCTATAAATATATACCATTCGTTTTTAATGCAACGCTTATAATAAAAGGAAATAAATTCAATAATTTTTGTATTTAAAATAATTTAAAATGAAATTAATCAACATTGTACCTATTTATTATTATGTAATATTATTTACAATAATAGATAATATTTTTAAATAATATAATTGAAATTTGACAATAAGTAACAACCTGTTTTTTTAGTGCTATTAGTCCCAGAAACGGAGACTTATGACGAAGACTCAAAATGGAGCAGGTGAACGCATGTGATGACGAAAGGGTCGTACAAATCACTGTTATGACATTAGAAAAAAGTTTACCGTGGTTTACAAGAGTAGTCAATGACGTCACGAATAAGGGTCCAATAAAATCGGCGAAATGTTTTGCGTCCTTGGAGTGAGACTTAGGATTACCCAATGAGAGCTTCGTGAAAAACAATGTTATCAGTGCTTTTGTTTAGTAGGAGCGCGCGCCGGCGCAATGTTATTTGTCTTAAAATTGTAAATGCAATATAAATATGACAATAATAAAGTCTACTTTTCTGAGAACGGGCCACCCTATATTGTGTTGTAAATTTGTGATGTCTGCGATCATTTATATAAAAGATTCCGAAAAGGGTAAATGGGACACTGTAACTATATATTTATAGTTAACTCTAGTACCTGTTTTGTTTCCTTATTTATCATCTAAAGTATGAACCTAACATAATTTGCGAAAGGCTGGGACTGCGAGTGTTTCTGAATAAAAATAATATCTCTTTATTAGGTATACTTTTTGTTTATTGTGAGTATCTTACCCATTGGAATCTCAACTATAATATTATAAAGAGAAAAAAAATATTTTTATTCATAACTAGCGACTTACCCTAGCTTCGCTCGGGTGTCGTGCCTAGCTTGCTTCCCCATACAAACTTTCATCCCCATTGTCACCCCCTTAAGGATGACTTCCGGGATAAAAACTATTTATTTCACTCACTTTCATATCACGAGATGAAAAAAAATATTTTTTTTGTAAAAAATCTTTAAATTTTCTTCTATACGAAACTTGTCCTAACAATAAAAAATACAAAAAAAAAAGAAATATCCAATTTGGTGCAGTTGATCGGAAGTTATGCGTGTAAATATATTTCGATGATTCATTTTTATTTATATAGATTTACATTTTACAGTGAACGCCACATCAACCTACTAAAAATCGAACTTATTGTGTTGACGACGTTAAAATTTGAGAATCTGCGGCATTGAACTCACCTAGCGAGTTCACGGCATTGCAGAATAATTTTTTCTTTTAAATGTAAAAAATTTCTTTACATCCAGGCCACCATGTAAACGTGAACATGACATCATATTAAGTCTACACCGTAATTTTGAACAGAATATACAGAAGCGTTTTGAAAATATTACCGAAACACACTGAACTCGCCGCGCGAGTCCCCGGCACTGGAATAAAATTAACGTAAACTCGCAGGGCGAGTCGGTGGCACTGAACGTGTTAAACTAGGTAGGTTTTGTTTGATAGCACTAATGACAGAACCTATCAAAGGATATTATAACACTTTGTGGGCGGGTGATAAAACTGATACCAGCAATAATTATTGTAGCTGTCTGTCGTCGTACGTATTGTATCTAATTACCACTTGTTTCTAATGCAAATAAAATTTGTTATAGACCGACTTTAGAAAGAAGAAGGTACAGATTTTTTTTCGTTAAGTTGAATTTACGACTTACCCGCTACGCTACGTATGGGTGTTTTTCTCTAGGCCATGGTCTATCTGTCTCGTGAATGAGTGGCAAACATACAAACTTCGTCCCCAGCTTGCTCCCCAATACAAACTTTCATCCCCATTTTCACCCCCTTAAAGGATGATTTCCGGGATAAAAAGTCCTATGTCCTTCCCAGGGTCTCAAACTATCTTCTCACCAAATTTCATCGGAATCGGTTCAGTAGATCCAGAGATTACTCCCTACAACGTCACAAACTCACAAAATCACAAACTTTACGTCTTTGTAATATTAGTATAGCAGTATAAATAAAAAAAGTCAAGCTTGTTAGTAAATATATCATACCTCATCGAGTACGATACATGAGTACTGCATCAGTAGCGGTGACGCGAACATTTCTCTAAGAAGCACGCCTTCTGTCATGAACTGAAAACAATAAATATCATAAAATTTATTTACATACGAAATATTTTTAGATTAAATATTATAATATGTATACATTATACAATATATTATATAAGTACATATATTCACTTCTTAGCAAACGATTAGGCGCCGACTTTTGATAATTTGTATTACTTGTAGTTATAATAAAAAAATCTATGTATTCTAACAATATCCTTATTATCTATTTAAATATAAACAGGTTACAGTTAGTAAAAGCTCTCCTTCAAAGCGTTGAACCGATACGACAAAGGTTACTTGGACAATGGACGATTGTGAAACTGTATAGAACAAGCATGAATAAAATTGACAAAACAGAGGCATATTGTACTTTTGTTTTGAAACTTGAGGTAACATAGTTAAAATAATCATTTTAAAATGGTTGACTTCCTTTTCCTTTCTGTTATTAAGGCGCTACCCTGACCAAATAACCTTGAGCATTCGTTCCCTCTTTGCCGCACCTCACCTCTATAATACTTCGTAAAGCAGTACTAGCTCCATCTAGCGATCACCTTCCGAATACAAGTAAAAATCGCAGACCTAAGAATTCACAGACATGGCATTATGGCATTCAATAAAAATATCTTTTTATGAAATGTTTATTGGTGCGCCAAAATAATTTTGATCATGATGAATCTAGTGACTATACTTACGTTCATGAATACTTCTAACATTTATTCATTTAAAAGTATTAAAGGTATTCTATAATATAGATTGTGCGGTGTTTATTTTTTAGATTGAAGGTTTATTTGTAATTCAGACCGTGGGTGATTGATAAAAGCAGAAAAATTAAATAACCAAGTCAATTTTATCATCATTTATTATTTTTTAGTAGGTTTCTTAACAGGTATTGCTAGCAGTGTCAAATAAAATATTCTAGAGAAACTGTGCAGACGTGATATTGACCACTAGTGCTGTTGTTAATAAATTGAGATTTTTTTTATCGTTACCCATCACGTCTATGAAGTTTATACAAAAAAAAAATTAGGTTTTAGTCTGAAACATCATTAACTGTGGTCAATGACCTCACAAAAAATCATCTAATTATGTTATGGTTCATTTTAGCTTGTTTATACAACGTGTAAGTAAGGGTATAGTCATATGAAAGTGTGTGCTGGAGACAATCTAACTGAGAACTTTATCGATGGGAACACCATCATAATCGAAAAAAATTATCAACGGCCCCATTCAAAAAGTATGTATAAGAAAGCTGATATTTTTTTACGATGACTATACGCTTTTTGTTACACGTTGTTTAACGATACTCATCATATTCGATCATCGATATTAATTTCTATACATTCTGTATACTGTTTCGAGTTTACATTTCATAAAAATCTAAATGAAATGAAATGAATAAAAAAATGAGCGAACAAGTGCACGAGTGCCGACGCGGCGCGATGACGAACGACACGTATTTCACCCTCGAGACCTTGTGGCACACTAACTCTGCGCAAGAGTTACGTAGCGAGTACGCTTAGATTTTAGAATAAAATCTTTATAAAATCAATTTTTTGTGTTTTGAAAAAAATAAAACTACCAAAATGTTCTCTATTTAATTACCTATCCATTAGTTAAGGAAGCAAACAAAATAATGGTTAATTTAGGAGGAGATGCATGTTATAAATAATTATTTCTCATTTCTGTGGTTTTTTTGTGGCCCTTTAATTAAATATTATGCTGCTTAAAAAAAAAAACTACCATTTTGGAGTCAAGATTATGTAGAAATTTAATGTATTTTTTATTAGTTGTTATTTCTTTTAGATAAAGAGAAGTTGGCTCCCAAAAACAGCCTAAAAACGGCTAACGCTGCGTTTCGCACGGGAACGCGCCTTAACATGTTTTATTAGCGGAAATAAAAAGAATGCTAATTTTACGACAATGACCATAATTGATTATCTCGAGAACCCCCAAAGACTATTATCAATCAATTGGGTTCTAGGGAAAGGTCTACGCACCCTATATAACACGCTCACGCATATATCAGCGCCAATGTCAATGTTACCTACTTGACTTACAATAAGTACAAAACATTTTAGGGTCAAAGGCAAAAACGGAACCCTTCCAACGCAATTCTTATAGCCATGACGACACGTTTGGCTCAGTTTGTAGTGATCCTACTTGCTATGCCAGCGGTTCGCAGGTTCGAGTCCCGCTGATGGCATTTATATGTATGATGAGCGCGAATGTTTGTGCTCCAGTCATGGGTGTTTATATTTATAATATGTATGTATTTAAAGTTATATATTATGTGTAGTGTATCAACTGTCTGGTATCCATATCACAAGCCTCGTAGCTTACCATGGAACTAGATGGTGTTGTATGTTAATATCCCAACATATTTATTTATTTATATGTCCATCTGTCCGTATGTCACAGTTATTTTACTCAGAAACTCTAGGAGATATTATATTGCTGAAAGTTGATAGCTACATGTCATATGTGAACCACTGATAATTCTGTAGTCAAATAACATATGGTAAAATATAACATAAATCTAATGTTACCGAAAAACAAAACCCTCAGTGTGCAGATCAGACTTCAGACGTTTTTTTTATTATTAATTTTCATGTGAATAAATGCGTTTTTAAATCTCATTTTCATGATCTTACACTTATATATTTTTTTATACTAGTTTCGTCTAATACGATAATTGATGTTAATGTATTATTTTTTTAAATCTTAGACTACGTTCTTTATTGAAAAGAATTCCACTACATAACCTATATTACATTTAACTCAATATTGCAAGGTTTCGCAAGTGGTCGTCTTTTAATTAATGCGTCATGCCCTTATAAGTCCCTTGAAAATATAATTGAGGGATTTTAAGCATTAGAGGTTTAATAATATAGTTCATATTGCAGTGACATATTAAAGTAATAAATTTTTTTATGACTAAATCACGCCTATACAATTATGGATTGGAATAAGTTATTGTAGTAAAATCAATTCATATACCCTATTATGAATGAATGATCTCTGTTTTGATGATAATGACAACGTTTAATTACGCGATTATCTAAAGCTATAAATAGCAACGAAACAAAAAAAGAAAATCGGTTGACAAACAGAGGGGAAAAAAGTACTGAAATGTTGTTCCCTATGCCTATTTATATATACATGTATACCTATTGTATGCCTGTGGCGTCTGCATGGCTATCGCAAAAGAAAACTAAACCATTTAGTTCGTAGGACGTATCCGCTAACTTAATAGATAGACGAGATTATGAGTAAGATTTAATTAACTAAACTAGCGACTTGCTCTGGCTTCACTTGTGTGCGTCCCTAGGTAAGTTTTAATTTTTTTTGCGCAGAACCCTAATTTTTTTTCCTAAAGTATAAGTAGCTTAAGTTACTTCGTATAACATTAACTATCTGCCAGTGAAAGTCCCGTCCGAATCGACCCAGTCGTTTCGAAGATTAGCCTGAACCAATAATAGACACAAAAATTGCATTTAGTAAACACAAAGACCTGTTATTTCGAGATTACAAACAGACACTTCAATTTCATTTATTTGTATATATTACTAACTTAGTAGTTTCATTCCAGTTAGGTAACCTCGATCCATGCGTCATAGCCTCTAAATATAATATCTTGGTTAGTCACCAAGGCATAGTATTATATGAAGTAAAGATTCAAGTGAAGATTGCTACTTTGCTAATTAAATCTTAGACCTTATATATTAGATTATATTAGGTTGCACATCGAATGTGAGCTTATGTTATATTAAAATTTTATTAAAACTAAAATTTTAATTACAAGTATAATGAGGAGGTAAAACCAAAATAGTGATATGTTCTAGAAACTTTTTTATATATATAGTATATCTAACGTATAGTCCTTCTTAACGTCTTACAGCTGGGCACGGGCCTCCCTTCAGTATGAAGGGGATCAGGCCATAGTCCACCACGCTGGACAAGTACGGATTGGAAGAATTCGATATCATATAAACATATCTTTCGACAAAACTTGCTAGATTCTGTCAGACATGCAGGTTTCGTTATAGGGTTGTGAATATATATATATATATATATATATATATATATATATATATATATATATATATATATATATATATATATTCATAAGCTAAGTGAACCAACGTATCGGAATAAAAAATAACTCATCATCTCATACTCTATGCAAAAAATATATGCACATATACATATATCGGTCGTTCCATTGCGGCGTGAAAGTACAAATCAACAAACAGTCACAATTATAATACCTACTATCGATTAAATAAAATCGAGAGCAAGTGCGTATCTCTGCGTATTCTGCACACCGTATTTTCTTAATACTTTCTTAGATTTACGCGAATATTTGACATTTTAAAGCAATCTATCTTTTCGAAACTTTCCGCGTATTTCTTTAGATTTTTGGTTCTCAACTTTTCGAATGCCTTACAACAATCATGATCATGGAGAGTCTCTCCCGAGTTTTATTTAAAACCGAAAATACGTTTTTTTTTGTAATTTAACAACAAAATTGTCTAGTGGTTCACATAAGACACTCTAAACCCCAATCATTCTTATTATACATTGGTCCATACAAATCCTTAGCGTTCGAAGCTGTAATCTTTGAACTTACCACTATCCCAGTATCCGGAGAACGATGCGACATCATACCAGCCGCATAGCCAACGCTCCCACCCAAGTCTTCTCCACACTCTTCTGCTACACGGCTCGCGAGAGACACCGCTGCGGCCACACGGGGTTGCGTTACACATACTTTGTGACCTATTTCGTGTAGATACTGAAAATATTACGAGAAAATGGTAAAGTTAATTATTAAAACTATTATCATAAATATGAAAATTTGTATGTATATATGTTTGTTATTTCTTGACGTTGAAACGGCTGAAGGAATTTTGATGATGATAGAATAAGTAGATAGACTTTAAGTGAAGTAACACAAAGGCTAATCTATACAGATAAATAAAATTGAAGTGCCTGTAATGTCAAAATAACAGCTTTTTACTAAATGCATAGGTATATACCGTACCTACTTATAATAAGAACACAATTTTTAATTTTTGTCTGTCTAATCTGTTTGTTCCGGCTAATCGCCGAAACGTCTGGACTGATTTTGACGGGTTCTTGGCGGATAGCTAATGTTATAAGGAATAACTTGGCTACTTTTATTTTAGAAAAAGTATAACGGTTTCAATTAAAAAAATTAAAACGTATCTAGGGACGCATCCGAGCGAAGCGACGGGTTAGTCCTTAGTGCTAGTAATAAAATATACCTAAATACAGCACATGGTGTTGCTTGTATCTATAATCTATATTATTGATCATTAATTTACTAGTAATTTGGAAGAAAAATAGTAACATGGATTTGCACAAACAAACATCCTCTCACCCCAAACGCATATAATACCATCTCCGTTCCGTTTTGGGTAAAAAAGTAATTAAGTTCTAAATGCAAATTTGTTTGTTAAGAAAAAACATCGTTGAATAATTCTTTAAAAAATATTATACAAGCGAGGTACTTTTGCTTTTTTTTCATCCCACTTCTACGTACGGGCCTTTGTTCTATGAAAGAGGAATTCGGCCATAGGAAACCACGCAGTCAAATACTAATTAGCGGAACACATCTTTCTAAAACTATGTATTTAGACTCTCAGATACTCGGATTTCCTTGCTATTTTCTTCGATAGCGTATAAGAAATTGATTCTCTTCAAAATCTTCAAATTTTTTTGAGATATCTTAAAGAAATATAGCAAGTTTTAATATTTTGTTGATTATTATCATTCATAAAAAATCATAATATGTACTTCCATTTTATACCCTGCGTAAGTATTTTTATTCTTTTTTTTTAAATAGAAAGACAATTCAATAGTTTTTTTATAAATATACAAGATTGTATGTAGATATTTTCCCCGGTCTAGTTGCGACCAAGAGCATTATGTTGCCACCAAAGGCATCGCCTCGATGGAACTAGCGCTATTAGCAAAGGAATAGGCGTGAAGATAAGAACGAAATTAAAAAAACACTAGGCAAGTATTTCTACCATACAAACTAAAATTTTGTGCAAACAAAAATACTAAGTAAAGTATCGTAAATTCATTATATATTTATGGGGTATAAAAAACTGAAAATTAGCTACCTACGGCATAAAAATAAACGGGAGACTTAAAGCATATACTTTTTAGGGTTTCGTACCCGAAGGGTGCCAACGGAACCCTATTACTAAGCCTCCGCTGTCCGTCCGTCCGTCTGTCAGAGAGCTGTATCTCATGAACTCTAATAAGTAGAGAGTTGAATTTTTTACAAAGTATGTATTTCTATTGCCGCTATAACATATAAGCACAAATAATAAAAATAAATAAAAAACTTAAAATACAAGAAACAATTTTTTACGTTCGTAATCGATTATCTAAGTTAATACATGTATAACAAACATAGAGTAAAAGTCATATTAATCGCACTTGTTAAATAAAAAGATTAAAAAAATACTTTACAAATTTAAAGTGATTATTCTATCCTTAGGCGAATTAGCGAATATATTATCATTTTTTTTAAATCTATATAAGACCTTTGAGTTATAGCCCTAGGAGGGCTTTTGAGGACCTAGTATTTATAGTACTTAAAAAAGGTCAAATCAAAAGTTTGAGGACATCCCGCGTGTATGAAGACAATGATAACAATGGAAGATGTAAGAGAGATACATACATATATGTGCGAGAGATCATAGCCCTTGTCACTCTGTTCTCAATGACAGACATTCGTGTTTGTTCGAGCGAATCTCAGAAACTACTGTAAGGTTTTTCATACGTATTACCAATAAATAGAAAGAGGAATTATCTAGAAAAGTTTAAAACTATTGTTTAAGAGCATTTTGCGTAAATAAGCTATCAATATCATGCAAATAGTAAATTAAGTCGGAATAAATCGTCTCTTCTGAGAGCTTTTTTATTATAATAAACTAGCGATTCAGCCTTGCTTAGCTCAGCTTCTTTCGTACTTAATGAAAAACAAGAACAAATCTATCCCGCGGGAACCATACATTTTTCCGGGATAAAAAGTAACCTATGTGCTACTCCAGACTATAATCTATCTCTGTGCCAAACTTCATCCAGATTCGTACAGCTGTTGTGGCGTCACCGATTGAGTCACTCCATACTTTCGCATTTATAATATCAATAGGATGTAAAGGACGTCTAGGGACACTCACCAATATTTTAATAAGTTTCTAAACAACGAAGAAATGACCGACCTTAACGTTTCAACGAAGGGGCGCATGTTTAAAAATATATCTCGTTGGACGTGTTTGACCGTGCAGTGATATCTTAACGACCGGAAAATTGCACAACAATGTTAGAACTGTAAAATTTTATTGAAGTTTTTTACACAATAACCTATATTTATGTATCTTTGTATACATATGTGACCTCATTGCAATACAAAAATTATATTTCTATGAAATATGTAGATTCGAAAACATCCGTAAAAACACTTTTATTACAATAATTTACTTTCTTTTCGGATGTTTTCGAGAATTTATTTTGATTTTTGGTTCCCGACGTTTCGAATGCTTTACAGCAATCATGGTCACGAGAGAGACTGAGGTGTTAGATGTCTCAAAGGTATTATATAGTTGTTACAGACAGCCTACCCACAAATAACAAAATTAACACAAACAATTGAAAAATGGCACCAAAGTATCTTACAATATTTTTTAACTTTAAACATTTTTATAATTTTAATTAGTTTTATAATTGAATATGGAATATTAATTATTTAATTTTAGCTGTTATTATTATAATTATTACAATTTTAAAAATATTAATTAGTAATCTGTATTTAGTGTTGCCATTATTATATTTATAACCATAAAGAAAAAATTATAAAATATTAATTATTTAAGCCACATAATTGATCTATGTGTAATTTGAAAAAGTTAAAATTAATTAAGAATAATAATTTTAATTTAGTTTACTATCATTTAAAAAAAAGAATACGATAGGAACGATAGCATCAATACAATACAATTACAAATACTAGGTCGCACTAATAAACCAAGCCTGAAGTCACTGATAATTATCCAATTATCGCTGTATAAATCTATAATTTTATATGACGCTGTAGTTATTGACCCATGACTTCACCTGTCATATCTTCAGTAGACTTGAAGATGATATTTATGCGTCTTAGATATATGTTGCACAACTTTAAACGAACAAGCAGCTAATAAACAAAGATTTGACTCGAACTTTAAACAAAGGTTAGTCCACCCTAAAAAATAATTCAATTATTTCTATTCCTTCATCCCATAAATATTATAATTGCAAAAGTTTAGATTTTGGATGGTTGTTATTCAATCACGCCAGAACGGCTGAACGGATCTGGATGAAATTTGGCAGAGATTATAGTCTGGAATAGCACATAGATTACTTTTTATCCCGGAAAAATGTACGGTTCCCGTGGAATAGATTTGTTTTTGTTTTTCACTAGGGACGAACCTGAGCAAAGCGAGGGTGAGTTGCTAGTTTGTAATATATCGTAATTCCTAATGGTACTCGCGATATCAAGACAAATATAACGACGTTTAATTCAACCAAAACGGTTAAGTCATCTATCTATCTAGAAATTACGAGGTAAAATCTGGTCAGAGATACATATGTACATATCTATGTCACTCATCATTTTGGACTTTTGTCATTCCTCCTTTTGGATTTCGCCGCAGTCGGGTAAAAATAGAAACGTGTGTAAATATTTATACAATGCGGAGGCGTATTTCTGATGCAAGATAAGTGACACAATTTTTGTTTATCTGTTCAACTGCTGGGTGGATATAATAAAAAATTGACAGTCTAAATAGGTCTAGTAAATTCTAAGCTACTGATTGTAAACTTATTACTGGGATTATTATTACTAGCGACTCACCCTCGCTTCGCTCGGGTTCGTCCATAGGTGTGTTTTAACGGTTAGTATGAACAGAATATGAATGTATTATTCAAATAAACCATTCAAGAGGAATCACTCTATCTATTGATGAAAACTGCATTAAAATCCGTTGAGTAGTTTAAAAGATTTAAGCGTACAAACAGCGGGAGCGACTTTGTTTTATTACTATGTATAGATAAATACGAAAGTAGCACATGTGTGTATATGTTTTTAACTCTTTTAAAAACCAAAACCGTATCTATGAAAATCCGTTCGGTAGTTTTTTTTAATTTATGTTTATTTAAGTATATCTGGGCCAAGCCGAGGCCTCTCACTAGTATTAGAAGTAGTCAACTATTACAATATATCTTAGATTTTCTTCTCTTGGAGGCTTTCTGAAAATTTAAATTATGTTTGGAATTTTCAAATACTTGTCAACCTTTGTTTGTTTTCGAGTCAGCGTTCTACAAACACCTATTGATAACACCACAACCGTAACAATCGAATCGATAAACTACAAATTCTTAAGATTATCGAGAAAATCGATATATGTAATATGTATTTCCAAGATTGTACGTGAGCCCTAACTTAACGAACCAACAAACAAAATCACGGCAAAAAAGCAATGTCTTAGTTTATGCGCTAGGATAAGAAGAACCTTGCTATATTATCGATCCATTAACAGCTTCTCGATTACGAGTATAATATAAATAATAATTTTGATCTTGAATATGTGAGTAGGTATTTTATGGGACAAAGTGGACATGTAGACATGTGTATCCATACTAATATTGTAAATGTGAAAGTGTGTTTGTTTGTTTGTCCTTCTTTCACTTCGAAACGGAGTGCCGGATTGGCGTGAT